TACATCTTTATTTTTTCCATTTCATTCACATTGTGATCTTCTCACATAAACGGTAATAAAAACTATATTTTGGTAATGATAGTCATACTTTGGGAAAATACTCACTCTTACAAAAGAACAAACATAAGGAACAGTTGGGTCTTGGTAGAAGACTACTTTAGTAGAAAATATAGGATTTTCTAGGAAGTTTACAAACATTTACATCAAATACTTACAAACTTTTACATCAAACATTTACAAGCAAATTCTTCAAACTTATACAAACAATGACACTAAAATACTTATGAACTCACCAGCTTTAATGCTGATCTATGCTTTCAAAATAACTTGTATTCTCAGGTCGCCAGTAGACATGTACCGATGATTAGGTTTGGAGCAGACGGAGCTTTCAAGACCTCGTCTTTATTTTGATTATTCATTTTTGGTGTCTTATAAACTACAGAACACACTTGTATTAAAATTATACTATTAATGCAATGGATGATGTTGTTGCTTCTTTACTATTATGCATTGTTGTGATACTGTACATGACCTCCTCCGCCCCCGAACGTTTCCGCCGTTCTGGTTTGGGGGTGTGACAACTAAGGGATCGAGTACACATTCTTGTGCACTGGTCAAGTCCACCACAAAGATCGATAAGACTATTCGTCATGATTTACTAAAGTTTAGTAAATATGGTTATACTTACAAGTTTAAGTATAATTCTGAAACATTGGAAAAGTTTCAATGTATGGCAGAACGAATGAGAAGAATCAAATTAGGCAGAAAGATAAAAGTTTCTTCAATCTGAAAAAATGGGAGAGTACTTTAGTATCCTGTTTTATGATCATCTTAATGATTATGAAACCATATCACAATTGATCCTCTAAGGACATCTTAGTGCATTCTTATGGCTAAGACGAGGTGTCATGAATTGTTGAAGTGGTTAAATCAAGAAGATGAGTCATACTTCGTTCCAAAACAATTCTTAGAATCATACTCCAAGATTGTAACTTGAGTGACATATCTTAAAGAAGGTTATAGCACTTGTCAAATGTAGAGTAAAATGTTTTCTACACTTGCACATTTGAAATTGGTAAGTTGTGATGTTTCGGATAAAACAAAGACCAACTAAGGCCAATTGTGTGAAGTGTTTGTCTTTGATAAGAATACGCACTAACTCTTGAATATATGTTGTCAAGTAATGGTATTTGACAAAGAGAAACTTATATGTCAAGAGGTCAGTGGGAGTCTTAAAAGATCCTGAAAGAGTTTCAAGAACTAATCAAGAATAAAACCTGTAGTTTATCACTAGCACACGACTTGAGGTTTGTAACCTATCGTGATGACATAATTCTTATTTATGTGCCCATTCCAGTTAAAATTGACTTTGCATATGAGTTCTGAGAGTTCTCAATTGGTTGCATAACGACCTGGAAGCAATGGTAGGCCCTTGAGCTGCCAAGTGGCAAGAAATTAAGGTTGGGTAAGTTCAGTCCATATGAGTTTGGATTTGTCACTAATCTTGTCTTGTGATTATGGTTTTGAAAAATTCACATGGATAGGAACACATACACCATAAAATCTAAGTGTCATAAGGCTTCTCTCCGATTCATGAAGATGATGGTGAGGAAACGCTTTCACTAAGTAGATTTTAAGTAGATAGCTATTGTGATATTTGCATTCTCAAAGTCGTTAGTGGAGCGTGTGTGGTTAACCGGCACACTAACATGGACTAGTGAGAATGGCAAAAGGTCTAAACATTATGATGACGGCATCCCTCTTCATAATTGTTTAGACACACATGTGAGCTATCTAAGGGAAGGTGTATGAGTTTAAGAAGCTTAGATAAAGTCTTATCGAAGCATCTAGTGTCAGAAATCTGAACTTTGGTAACAAAGTCAACAAAGTGTTGATTTCTAGAAGTCCAGCTGATTTCTGAATAAATGTCAAAGCTAGTGAGAGCATAAGTGTTATGCTGGTAAGATAATAATTATAATGTTGGTGGGAGCATAATTATTTTGGAAAGTGTTTCAAGTTAGCACTGTTAATTATAGAAAACAAAGTTTCAAATCACAAGTTGTAGGGTTTGAAAAGTTGTTTTGCTATAATTAAGGGAGAGGAATTCATACTTCATTTCAATTCTAAAAGCTTAGATTGAGATTTTAATCACATTTAGTAAAAAATATATATATGAATGTTATGTTGGAATGGTTCAACATAAGGAAATTCTATATATGGATGTGTTAATTGCGTTCTCAAAATTTGATTATGATTACGACATCCCTTTTCATAATTCGAATTTTGAGAACATGGCAAATAATATAATATTCTCGTGTTTTAAATTTTTCTAAATGCCTAGGGCATTAAGAGGGAAAAAGGACTAGAACCGGTTATGACTAAAGTGGTTGAGCAACTGTTAAGGACAATCTAAGGTTCGCCAAAGATTGGTCGCTTAAGGAAAGTTGGAAGTATGGTAATGGATGGACCATATTGACATTATTATGAATAGACAAGAGACTATTAATAATGAATTTTCGTATGGCAAATATGGAATGTTTCCATATTAGGGGGTTGGGGTTGAAGAATAGATGAGAAAGTTAAAAACTTAATGCAAGAAGGATGTTCAAAGGAATGTACTTTGAATGTGAGACTTCGTTTCCATGGAATTGATCTCCATTGGAATACTTTGTAATGTCTGTTGCCACGTCTTTGTGACTTTTGTGCATAGTAATTACAAGAGGATTAATGCATGTGAGTTTAAAATCTAACAGATTACAGTAAATGACAAGAATTTGATATTCTTACATTTACGGTAAGGATTTGGGATTGTGAAATGAGCATCATTGGAATCATTTTCAATTGATCTATTTCACAAAGTAAGGACCATAGACAAACATAGTGTGCATGCGTGGAGCATGGCATAACTATTGTTTGGACAGACATAATGTGCATGCTTTGAGCATGGCATGACTATCATTTCAATTCAAGTATTAATTTGATTATTCGAAACATTATACAATGAATAATGAGTAATCAATATGGCTCAAAAGGTTCGGGGCCATATAGGATTAGTGTTATTCTTGTGTTTCACTTTGCATGTTTTGACTTCCCGAATAACTAGGTTATTCAAACCATCCACAGTCGATCATACTTTGGAAGTAGGTATTGAGGCAAGACTGTCATGAATGGGTCTGTAGTTTGTCTGGGACAAAGTGGTTGCAGTGTTCATGAGTACTCCTGGAATAAGATTCAAGTATTGGATTCAACCCACACTCATTTGAATCACTTCATGGATTTTATCATGAGTGATAATGAGACGATAATATCTTATATTCTACAAACGGAGACGTGTGAGTTGTAGTTGCGAGTTGGTTGCACATTGACATATGTAAACGTACCAGTAACTTGGTTGTTATAAAACATATCGTTGTGTGTGATTTGATGAGTAAGTACAAGCGAGCATTTGGGTCGAAGTTTATCCATTCCTTTTACCATTGGAGGGATAAAAGCGATATTTGTGGGCCCCTCGATGATTTAGTGATGACACCTCTAAGTGCTTGGCCAATCCTGGACTGATTTGATTTGTTCAATTAGTCAGTCGTCATAAATCGGAAATCGGGAAACAACAAATGGACAGAGAGAATGATTATAATCCATGTCTCGGTCCATATGATATCTAGAATTGAGGAATATATGATCCCTTATCTAATGGACACGTCATTTGACTAGGTCAGAGTTCGACAACGGCTTTAAGAGCTACGATTGCTAGTCGGGATCTTCGAGTCATACTTGAATAATAGTTTTAGACCTATCCAAGTGGGAGACTGTTGGATTAGATGTCTAAGCCCATAACTATTATTGGTATGTACTCGAACCGAGAGTAGCATGGTCCATTTGGGTTGCATGGCATCGGAACAATTGGATAGACAAGTGAGAAAAGGTTATTTATGATTTATATTAATATATTATAAGTTCTAATATATTAATATGAAATCATATTATTTAATTAGTATTGATCAAGAATTAATTTGGAATTAATTTTGTGATCAAAATAGACTAATTAAATATATGGGGATTGATTATGTAAATCATTCATTCTTATATATGTGGGCTTGTGATCCATTGTCCTTCATGTTGGGCTTAACCCACGTGGTAACCCATGGAGGTTTAAAACCCATGGATCATGAAGGAAATGGAAAGTCATGCACATTAGGGTTTACATGGTGTAACCCTAATGAGCCACACTATATAAAGGATCCCATGGTTCATGAAATGGGACTAGTGGAGACACAAAGAGGGCAAATTCGATTTCATAGAGTGAACCAAGTAACCTCTTCTCAAGTTATTCCAATTGTTGGTGGTGTTGTGTGATTCCATTTGAGGTGCAACACTTGGGGAACCAAGCTCTTAAAGGTTCAAGACTTCAAGCTCCATCAAAAGGTATGTCATCTAACTAGACTTTTGTAGTATAGATACTCCATTATATGCTAGTTAAGATGATGCTTTGGAATTTTGAATGTATGCATGTATAATAGAGAAAACATAGATCCAAAGCACATAGGGTTGCATGTACACATAGGAGTGTTAGAATGCTCAAAACCCAACACTTAAACCTACTGATGTTTCTGAAGGAGGCTCTAGAACTTCATGTGGTGTGGGGAATTTTATAGAGTGTGTTAATGATATCGAAGTTGAAGATGTTAATTATTCTGGTTTTCAATTTACTTGGAGTAAGAAACCTAAGGGAATTAGAGGTCTTTTGAAAAAGTTAGATAGGGTTATGGTCAGTTCCTGTTTCCTTGCTATGTTTCCTTTGCTCATGCAGTTTTTAAACCTTACATGACTTCTGATCATTGCCCTGCTATACTTGAAATTCTCCTCCTTAATGTGAAAAGGCTCATTCTTTCAAATTTGAAAATTTTTTGTGCAGTAAAGATGAATTTCTTCCTATTGTTTCTAATGTTTGGAGGTCCAATATTGATGGTTTTGTTATGTATCAGATTACCCGAAAGCTCAAAATGTTGAAAAAGCCTTTTAGATCTTTGCTTGGGAAGTACAAATTATCTAGTGATAAGACGGAGGGTCTTAAAAGGGATTTGGATTCTGCTCAGGCTAATATAGATAAGGATCCGGTTAATGCTGATTTCAGAATTCATCATGCCAATATCCTTAAAGCTTACAATCAACTGGTTGATGATGAGGAAAAACTACTAGCCCAAAGATGTAAAATTAATTGGTTAAGTGATGGGGATAGGGATTCCAGGTTTTTCCATAAAATCTTGAAGAGTAACCAGAATAAATCCAGAATTGTCACTGTGATGGATGAGGAGGGAAGATGGATACATGGGAGGGAAGTGGCCAATAAATTTGTGGACCATTTTTCGAATTTTCTTGGTCAAAATTATCCCACGGAAAGGTTAAATCAGGAGTCTGGATTCTTTAGAAATGTATTGGATCAGGATAGTGTTGTGGATATGATAAAGGTGGTCAGAGATGAGGAGATCAAACTTGCTATGGTTGATATAGATGATATTCGTGCCCCTGGTCCAGATGAGTTCTCCTCTAAATTTTATAAAGCTGCATGGAATGTTATTAGAAATGATATTTGTAGAGAAGTTAGAGAATTTTTTGGTCTGGGAAATTGCTGAAAGAAATAAATGACACCAGGATCATTCTGGTTCCTAAGAATGATAATCCTGGGAAAGTTTTGGATTACAGGCCTATTGCTTGTTGCAACACTTTGTATAAGTGCATTAGTAAGGTGATTGTTCATAGAATCAGAAATCATCTTAGCAAAATTGTGAACATCAATCAATTAATTTCATTCCTTGAAGATCCATCTTAGATAATATTATGCTTGCTCATGAGATTTTGAATGGATATAATATCAAGACTGGATCTCCTAGATTTTCCCTGAAGATTGATTTGCAGAAGGCTTATGACACTGTTAGTTGGGATTTCTTGAAGCAGACTTTGATTGGATTTAAATTTCACCCTTTCATGATTCAGTGGATTATGGAATGTGTATCCACTCCTTCGTTCACTGTATGTGTTAATAGGGTTGATCATGGTTATTTCAAATGTGGAAGAGGATTAAGGCAGGGGGGCCCTTTATCTCCATATTTATTTACGATGGTTATGGAAGTTTTTAACCTAATTCAGTTGAAGAATATTCACAATATGGATGGCTTTAGATTCCATAGTAGATGCAAAGATCTCAATATTACACATCTCTGTTTTGCTAATGATTTGCTGGTATTTTTGTATGGTAATGGGAGATCGGCCTGTGGTATAAAGGAATCTCTTGATGAATTTAGGTTGTTTTCTGGGCTTGAGGCTAATTTCAATAAAAGTCAAATCTTTTCTAGTCGAGTCAGCCCAATGATGAAAGGGATTATTTTAAGCAGTTTACCTTTTAATACTGGGAAGATTCCAATTCGATATTTAGGGGTTCCTCTTTCAGTCATAAAGCTTTTCATTAGGGACTAGAAAGGGCTAATTGAGAGCATAAAAGCCAGAATATTGAATTGGAAGAATAAGAGTCTTTTGTTTGCTGGAAGACTTCAACTTATACATTCTGTTCGTGGGTCTATGCATGTGTACTAGGCATCTGTGTTCAAGTTCCCGGTTTGGGTTAATAAAGAAATTGAGAAGATTATTCGGGGATTCCTTTGGTGTAGTGGTGAGATGAAACAAGGCAAAGCTAAGGTTAGCTGGGAACAATTCTGCAAATCTAAAAAAGAAGGTGGTCTTGGTATAAAAAGCTTGAAACAATGGAACATTTCCCATTTGACTAAGCATGTTTGGAACATTTTAGTTAAGAAGGACTCTTTATGGGTTAAATGGATCCATTTACACCACATTAAAGGAAGAAATGTTTGGGATATTTTAAGCAAACCTAATCTGAGTTGGGGATGGAGAAGATTTTTGGAGATTAGAGAGGATCTTAGACCCTTTATCACTTCTTGTATTGGTAAAGGGAATGAGACTTCTATATGGCATGATAGGTGGCACCCAATAAGCCCTATTAGCTCTATTCTCTCTCGAAGAAAAAGAATTAGCAAGGGATTTCATGATGATTCTAAGGTTGCAGAGCTCTTTGTTAATGGTGCTATAGTTTGGCCTGGTGAATGCTTGAAACAATGGAACATTTCCCATTTGACTAAGCATGTTTGGAACATTTTAGTTAAGAAGGACTCTTTATGGGTTAAATGGATCCATTTACACCACATTAAAGGAAGAAATGTTTGGGATATTTTAAGCAAACCTAATCTGAGTTGGGGATGGAGAAGATTTTTGGAGATTAGAGAGGATCTTAGACCCTTTATCACTTCTTGTATTGGTAAAGGGAATGAGACTTCTATATGGCATGATAGGTGGCACCCAATAAGCCCTATTAGCTCTATTCTCTCTCGAAGACAAAGAATTAGCAAGGGATTTCATGATGATTCTAAGGTTGCAGAGCTCTTTGTTAATGATGCTATAGTTTGGCCTGGTGAATGGTTGGACATATTCCCCAATCTGTCAATGGATCCTATTTGTATGCTTAATAATCAGGAAAATAACAAATACTTTTGGGTTAATTTGAAAGGTGCAGTGGGCAAATTTTCAACTAAGCAGGTTTGGAGAGATTTATATGGTCCTGAAATAGGTGTTCCTTGGTATGATACTATTTTGTTTAAAGACAATATACATAGGAATGCTTTTATTCTATGGATGGCTATGTTGGGAAAGTTGAAGACTCAAGATCGGGTTAGAAATTGGGAAAAAATGGGGAATCTTGAATGTGCTTTTTGTGTTAGAGGTATGGATTCGCACAATCACTTGTTTTTTATTTGTGATTATCCTAACTTGAGTTGGCATAAAATAAAGAATAAAGCTGGTATTAGTGAATGTCCTGATGATTGGTTACCTATTGTTCAATGGTTTAACACAAAAGTGGGGGAAAGTCTTTAAATATTATTGTGAAAAGAATTGCTCTTGCTAGTACGATTGCTCAGATATGGCAGGAGAGAAATAAAAGAATTTTTAACAATGAGAGGTGTAAAACTGAGAAGGTTTTTGTTCGAATAGTTGAAGAAGTCAAGCTTAGAATAATGGGAATTGAGGCTCTTTATAATAACCAAAACCTTATGGTTTGCAATGAGCGGGGAGTGTAAAAACTCAAAAATTGGAGATTAGGAGAGAAAAGGGATCAAACTTCAATGGTTGAAAATGGATGATAGGTTTGATTTGTTCCTGAATGATAAGATCAGTAGTTGTTGGGCTAAGGGGAAAGGTGGTAGAAGTAGCAGATTTGAAGTTTTGCTGACCATGTTGATGTTTTTTATCGGCATATGGTTGGACTTTAAAGGAACTGACGGTTTTTACTTTATAGTTGAGGGTTTACCCTCAAATATAAGTGACTGTACCAAAAAGGGATAGATGGATATATATATATATATATATATATATATGATCTTAATTGAGATTATCTTGAAACTCTATCATGACATGTGATTGATGCCATGTCTAGTTTGTTACTCAAAAGTATTGACGGATTTAATAATCAATGGGTGTTTTTATTATTTTATCACATTGTGTTATGCAGATGGTGGGAGAAGGAGCAGATTGTTTTGTACAGAAGAAGGATTTGATGTGATTGCCTTTCTGGTAAATGTTGTTTGATAAGACGATTGGATTTTTGAAGATTATTGCTATCCTTTCAATAAGAATGATGTGGAAAATTTGGGGCATGAATTGCGGGCTGATGTGCAGAAACCAAATTATGATAGCTTTTAGTTTTGGTTTTTTGTTGTTCTTTTTTTTGGTTGAATTATTGTGTTGAATTTTTAACCCCTTGGGTGATGGGTTTTTTTAAGGGCCTTTCCCCTTGCTGTTGGATTTGTGTTAACAGGTGGAGAAGATACAGCTTGGGGGTGAAGTTACATTTTTTCCCATCCTTAATAAGCTCTTGGAGTGCTGTTGAGAACGTGGGGTTCTGTGGGATGTCTACTTATGGATTTATTAGGATTGTTTGGTGTATATTTTGGATGCTTATCCTTATTAGAAAGTGGTTGAAAAGTTGGATTTGGATAGGTTGGAGGTTTATTAGGTTGGATATAGTTTATTTGTAATTATCTTTGTATTCTTTTATTTTTTTTCCGAATAAAGTTTGCTGATTCTTGTGTATCTTTCAAAAAAAACGGAAACGGAAGACTTTAAAAATAACAAATTTATTTTTAACTCATAACAAAACCAAACCATCATGGATCCATTTATAGAGGTTAGAATGAAATAAAAAATAAAAAAACAACCATAGGATGTTTTAGAGATAACCTTTGAAGCTTTTGAACCCACTTGGTTTTTGGGTGTTGATAAAGATAGCAAAAATCAAAGAATATGATTTCTCTACAAGTATCCACCATCAAGAGTAAGGCACTTGGAATGCTAGTTCCTTCTTGTATTCTTGAGTGTCTAAAGCCTTTAAGTGCTTATCTTAAATAAGCACTAAATGATACAACTCAAGAAGGCTTTAATCACCAAAGTAAAGCACCAAACTTCAAAGAGTTGGAGAGAAAGAAGGGAAGAAAGAAGACCAAAAACTTAGCAAAAATGCAAGCCTCATGCATATCTTATATAGTCCATGAAAAAAGTAAGGTCTTTTTATTAAAATACTCTAAAGTATTTCTAGCCTTTAGAAGCATGGGAGACAAAGCATGGAAGTTGAAAAAGCAACCCCCATAATTTAATATTTTTGGCCACACCTCTTGAAAAGAGGGGGATTCTTTATTTTTGATAAACTCCAAGTTTATAAAATATAAACTTTGTCTTTAGGTAAAAGACAAAAGAATCCAACTAGTCCAAAATATTGTGCATGACTTACTAATTCATACCATATGAAATAATAACTAGTTATACTCTCTTATAATTATTATTTTCATAAAACAATAATTATTCCCTAATTAAAATACAAGAATCGATATTATTTATTAATAATCACATTAACAATAAATATACAAAATGTGCCAACTTGATAAAGGTGTGACCCTATAGGATCATATATTATTAGCAATATCACTCCATAATGATTCTTGGGCATATAGATTCAACATTAATACCATCATTCAACCATAAATCTGCCACTATAGTATTGTCATTAAACCCAGCTTCAAGAATTTCTAGAAACAACTTTGCTCAATACCACTAGGGTGCCATAAATCATGTCAAGCTAAAGTATTCTCACCATTCCCAAACTTAGAAACAATATGATTTCTAAGATGACTTCTAATACTTAGAAACCTCTTCCAAGTCCAACTTAAATCTTGTTTGAGAAGAATGTCCCAAAAATTCCCATTTTTCAAATGATTAACTTTCACCCATTCAACCCAAATTTATTCGTGATTGCTAATAATTTTCCAAATCTACTTCGATAATAAAGCAATATTCCAACTTTTCAAAATTTGAATGCCTAACCCACCACATTTTTTCGGCATACAAACATTTCTAAACTCACCATTGCACCAAAAGGAAACTCCTTATGATTTTTTCAAGCTCATAAATCGTTTCAGCAGGGATCACAAAGATAGAAGCCCAGTAAACATGATACGAGGATAGAACAGAATTTATAAGTTGTAATCTACTTGCAAATGACAGGTTTTTATTTCTCCAATCCATCACTTTCCTTTTAACTTTCTCCACCATTCCATTACAATCACTTTTAAATAATTTTAAAGGGGAAATAGGTATACCTAAATATCTAACCGGCAATAAACCCTTCTTGAAAGGTAGGATACTCAAGGTAATACTTCTAATTCTAGGTCTGACACCACAAAAGAAAATTTGACTTTTAGGAACACTAATGCTCAACCCCGAAACCTCCTTCAACTCATCCAAAGCTTCCTTAATGACCCAAACAGAAGCATCATTACCATTGCTAAAAATCATCAAATCATCAACAAAACATAAGTGTTATAGTAAGCTCCTTACAGTTCCAATGATATTTAAAGGACCCCCCTGCCTCAGCCCCCTTTTCCCAGAAAAAAAACCTTATCTTCTCCATTTAAACAAATAGTGAAAAAAGGTGCAGTAACACATTCCATGATCCAATTGATCATAAAAGGGTGGAACCCAAACCCCTTTAAGCAAATTCAAGAAAATTCCCCTCCACCGTATCATAGGCTTTTTGAAGGTCAATCTTCATAGCACATCTAAGATAATGTATTCGAATTGTACCGTTGCATTAACTCTTGAGCCAAAAGGATATTATCCTGAATAGATCTTCCAGGAATAAAAGTAGTCAGATTTCAATCCACAATATTCCCAAGACTTTTACTAATACGATTTAAATACTTTACTAATGCACTTATAAATGGTATTGCAACAGCCTGAAATCAGTCACTCGACGAGAACAATCAACTTTGGGAACCAAAACAAGTCTAGTGGCATTGAATTCCTTCAATAACTTCCCACTTCAAAAAAATTCTCTTATAGCTTTACAAATATCAGATCCAATAATATTCCATGAAGATTTGAAAATTTTTGAAGAAAACCCATCAGGTCTAGGAGCCCTATTATCATTAATATCAAACATGGCTTCTTTAATTTCAACATCTATGATGACTTTGATCATCTCAATAGCATAATTAGATCCAATTTCCTTTCAAACTGGAAGACATCAACAATAAAAGATTTCGATCTAGATTCCAACCCCAAAAAACTTTGAAAATGATTCACAAACTTTTAGAAATAGCTTTTCCTCTATGCCACTTCCTATCTTCATCCAAGATGGTTTCTGTTCGATGCTTATTATGACTACTCTTGATAATCTTGTGAAAAAAGCAGTAAATATCACCATCTCTCAACCAATTCACTTTAGCCTTTTGAAATAAGGATTTTTCTTCATCACAGCACACCTTGTGAAACTCCTGAATCAAAGCAGAATTAACCATTCTATACTCTTCATTAGGAGGATCCAAATCTATGTTAGCTTGAATGGCCAGAGATTCTGTAGGGTTTAAAAACAGCATGAAAACTAGGAAATTTGGATATAAAACTCAAATTTCCCATAATCCTCTCTAGTTTCTTCAAAATACAATTCTTGCCATGTGGATAGTCCAAGTAAATTGCAACCCCATTTTACTCACAACTTCAACTTCGATCTCGTTAATGCAATCTTGAAAATCATCAAGCCCAACATTCACTTTAGAAGGACTCATGGCATAATCCGAAGGATTTATAGCAACGTTAATATCACCAAGTAACACCCAAGGATCATTTTTCACAACAGCCTTACGAAGAACAAGATCATCCCAGAACTTTCTCTGATTAATGTAGTAAGAAGCAGCATATATAAAGGAAAAATAGATGAACTCCCCAGATCCAATTAATTTACTATAACAATGAATGTCCCGATCAGATTAAGCAAGCACATTTAAAGAGAAAATTTAGGATCCCATCCAACAATTATTCTGGTACCATTACTGCACTTGTAATTATTACTAACTCAATCCCAGTTACCAAAAACATTCCAACATATTTGTTGCAGCTTCTTGAAACTAACATGAGTTTAAAGTATAGCATAAATATTCATTATATAACTTTTCACAACCTCAATCACCTCTTTTTGCTTAACAACTTTATTCAGACCTATAATATTCCATAATCCAATATTCATCAATGGGATACATTAGATTTTTCAGTGATACCCTCATTAAGCACCTATTGACTCATAACATTTTCTTCTCCATCAATCACCATTCTAGTCATACCACCAGAAATAATGTCCCCCTTATCACCAACAACTTTCTTATCCTTATCAATCAAAGTGAAATCAGAAGTACCCTCCATAATTTTATCCTTCCCTTTATTCACTTTTTTCCCTCCTCTTTACTTTTTAGATTCTTTTCAATATTATCAACAACATCATCAGTTAAATCTTGCAAAACATAAAATCTGTCTTTGAAACTTCCTCTTCATTTTGCTTTTTACTGCCATTATCATATCTTAGATTTTGACCCCTTTTTCCTGCACTTTTTGATTCCCCTTATTATTCCCATTTAAACCCTCTTTTTACATTTATTTCATTATTGCAAGGAACTCTTGATTCTTCATGTAATTCCAGTGACCAATTCCTCTATCATTCTAATTTCCATTTTGACCTTCACTACTCCTCTTATTATTACCTCTATTCCATTGATTGTTACTTCCTTTGTAGTTACGGTTACCATTACCATTGTTCTTCTGATATCCAAAATTACTATTATTAGCCATAGTCTTTGTACCATTAGAACTACCCATCATCCTTAGCATTATTGTTTGGTTTAGAAATACTCTTAACTACCTCACTTTTTCCTTTAATAAATGCTAAACAGATAGAATCTTCATGACCATATATTTTACAGTGTGAACATCTCGAAGGTCTCCATGCATATTCTACATCAAAACTCTGAATCATAACTTTAACAAGCATAAAATCCCATGTTCGCACCTCAATTCTATCTTTCCATTAATGCCTTATCTGCTGAGATTTCAACCAAAATTCTGGCATAAGCATTTCTCCCCTTTATGCTCAATGCACATCTCCTCCGTGTATTAGTCAAATGTCAAAGGAATCCCAATCTTGCTAGTAATTGTACATAAATTTTCTCCACTCCATGCTTCTAACGGAAGATCATAAATTTGTATCCATACAGGCACTTTGTTATGAGTATTCTTAGTAAGAGCCAACCCCGGACGCCATTTTTGGATAAATATTGGAAAATTATTGAAAATCATCCAAGGACTATTATCCAATACCTGCCTCATACCTTGATCCGAATTGAACTTGAAAAAAATAAACCCTTTACTGTTCTTAAAAATGTCCTCCAATCCCATATTCCTCCATATGTTCCATATTTCATTACTCAATGCTGGAAAAGCAATTTTCTTATCGAGCATATACCCATAAAAAGATTTATTCCGGAAAATCCTATATTATCCATAAAACTG